TATGTAGACTGGAAAATGTGTGCAAAATATTCCTCCGAAACGTCAGTAAAATCTACCAGAATATATGGTGTCATCCCAGTAGAAAATAAGCTTTAAAGACTGTACATGTGATGCAGCAGGATAATACAAGCTGTGACGACAAATAAGAAGTTTCGCAATCTGCACATTTCTGAGTTCAGAGCCTGAGAGATTCATACGAAGTCCTCGAAAACTTCGTCTCTCACAGGCGGTTCAGCATGCTTGCAGGTCTGTACACAGTTACATGGGATCCAAGCTCCCAAAACGGAGAACACGTATCTTCGTTTTCATCTGACTCTGAATAATTTGTGTATTTTCCTTTTCTTCGGAATTCCTATCTATCTATGGGTCTATAGCCCTTGTGGACCTTGGCCGCTTTTTTCAGTTTCTTGTACATACCGAGTCTGTAGGCCTCCTTGGACGGGGGATCAGCCCATCGCCAGGCCATTACTTACACACAAGAACATAACCACCGAATAAACACACACAGACATTCATGCCACGAGTGGGATTCGAAATCACGATCTCAGTGCTCGAGCGGACGAAGACGGTTCATGCCTTACACCGCGAGGCTACTGTGATCGTCAAAAAGCTTTCGCCTAACAGGAATCGAACTCCGGCCGTTCAGCGATGAGCCCGTCGCTATATCGACTGAGCTATCCTAGCTTCAAAATATTATTCTTCTGACGGGAATTTGACCACGGCAATCCAACCCGTAGCCAATCGCCGTACCGACTGAGCTAACCCGGCTCCCCTTGGGAATTCACAAAACACATAAATCTCTTTCCATTCAAACATCAAAAACAAGTCTACAAATCACTTACATACTCAGTGGTTCGCAAATTCGGTAGCATTCATCTCGTTTTTGAGCAACCAACTTCGCATAATGTTCTACTGAGAAAAATGTACGTAGTAAGAAATCAGGTTTGTCTACTTTCTATTTAAACATTCAAAATTCCTTAAAAGTCTCTGCATGCGATATATCACCGTTTAAGGCAAATACAGCGCTCCAAAGTTGAATGAAACTGCACGCGATATTCTGATAATTCTGTGCTAATAACTGCAATACTCGTATATTGTAATTGGTACCGCGAAACAACGTTCCAATGTAGCATAAATTTATTGATGGATCTTACTTACTTACTTACTTACTTACTTACTCATGGAGCTGAGCCCTTCTGGAGGAGCCGCCAATTCTGCAGCTACTCAAGAATTTCCCAGCATTTTATGGAACCCGAAGGTTCATTACCGTGTTCACAAGAGTCCTCCACTGGTCCCTATCCTGAGCCAGATCTATCCAATCCATCACATCCCATCCTATCTCTCTAAGATCCAGTCTAATATTGACCACCCACCTACGCCTTGGTCTTCCCAGTGGTCACTTTCCTTCTGGCTTTACCACCAATATCCTATCACTAGAGAATACCACTTAGCCTATTACAAAACTACGTAGGTATAAACCTTGGAATATATGCATTGATTGCCCCAAATGACAATGGTTCAGTGGGCTTGTAACGTGTTGTGGAAATGAAAACAATAAAGTATAAGTGTTATTGCAAATTGTTTTGTTTGGCGGGTTTGTTTTAACAAATTCTGTTAAATTGTTTACAGACAATTTGCAACTCATAAAAAGAGACAATTATGAGGAAATATATAATGTATATTTTTCTTGTATTGCAGAACAAAAGCTTCCTAGATGTCAGACACGATGAATGACCCGAAATCGAAGGTGAGAAAGGCCATATGGCGCCCACAGGAGCCTCTACCGGTTGCGGCAGAAGAAGATGTGAGCAAATTGCCTAATCGGGTGGACGACATGTTCACCGGACGCGCCATCTTGATCACAGGCGGCACCGGGTTCTTGGGCAAGGTTCTGCTTGAGAAGATTCTGAGAACTTGCAGCAGTGTGGACACTATCTATTTACTTATCCGCAACAAGAAGGGAAAAGAGCCACGCCAACGGGTTGAGGAGGTACTTGCCTCGCCGGTAAGTCAACAGATTCTTTGCAGAAAATACCGGGTATCAGGATGAAAGGTATCCAGAATAAAAAAAAAAGGCATATCTCGGAAACTAATTATCATACATGTATCCGGTTTACGTCATCGGAAAGCAAAACTCTGAAAGTATTTTTTTTTCTTTATGCATGGCTTACACGCAAGCGCCGCCACATTTCTGCCACCATGTTAGGAATCACCTGGACAGGGAGATGGCTGGGATATGAATTGGCAGGTGTGAACCAATCGTTTGGCCTCTTAGGTCGCCAGATTTAACTCCAGTGGATATTTTCTTGTGGAGTTATGTGAAGAACATTGTCTTCCGGGTTAAGTTCAAAGACATTCAACACCTGAAAGCCCGCGAAATGGACACTGTGGTAAAACCAAACATGCTTCAAGCAACGTGGAACGAGGTCGAATATAGTCTGGATATTTGCCGTGCCACCAGGGGAGCCCACATTTAAATTTATTGAGAAAGTTATATACGCAGAAAAAACTTTGATAGTTTCCCCTTTGTAATGGAATAACCCATTAATATAATAAATGATCTCTGAAATATAATGGTTTTATTTTGGATATCGTTCATCCGGACGCCCTCTATATCCGAAAGTACGTCCATTGGTCTCTTATTGGCATGTTTATTATCCCAAACTTCTGAACGGAAATATCGAATTTTGGAAATGACGTATACACTGAAAGTGGCTGAATACAATAAGTCAAACCTGTCTAAAAAGAACCTTTAATTTAGAGGAATCTCAAGACGAAGTTTTTAATTTTCTGAAAAGTGACTCATAGTAGAATAAATTATTACTTTTACATGACAAAATATAAATTTCTAGACCTTCCAGAGAAGTTAACATTCTGTCAGAAGCCCACAAAATTATCCATTTTTATGGAATCCGAATGTGCATTAGTTTCTTCTCAAAAACCAACCAATGGGCCGTATTCTGAACCTGATGAATACAGTGCATACCTTCACATTTCGAAGGGCTTACTGACACCTTTACACCTTCATGGCGGCGTATGTTCTGGTGAGCAGACGTGGACTTGTACTCCTAATAAATTCTGTCTTCTCTTATTTAAAAACCATGTTCAATAACAGATATATATCCGCATGAAATTATATCGAGGCCAGTTAACAAACAAACTCCATGGCCTGTAGTCCGCAAGCGAACTGTATCGACCGAGCGACAACCGCTTGTCGGAGTTAGTGCCAACTTTTGCTGATAGAATGTGTCACGTGGTCAGCGCAACGGATCTCCACGGCCGTTAATCTCGGTTTTCTAGACCGGAGCCGTTATTTCCTTGAAATAGCTCCTCGATTATCCTCACGAGGCTGAGTAGACCCCGTTCCAGACCCAGTAGTTCTCAGAAAATCTGGTAGTGCCGAGAATCGAGCCCGGGATCTCTGGATCTGTAGCCAGGAACTCTGACCACTAGACCACAGAGGCGGTCATCGAAGCAAGGTAGGCATGGAAAACCGTAAGAAACGTATTCGGGAAACAGGTATGTTTCAATGGAATACAAATTGGAACTGTAGCATAACCAGAACAAAAATTTTCTTTGCTATACTCCGCCTTTCTGTTTCAAATGAAACTGCTATTCTCTTAGGTCTGGAATTTCTTGAGAGTGGTTAGCAACACAGAGAACTCCTCCACTGTTACTGGTTCCCAAGCCGTGTTTCGCGAACACGTTCGAATAAGAAGTAAGCGATCTGAAAACTACTATATCCTGTAGTTCGGAGATGGACGTTTCAGGCAAACTCAACATCTTTCGGACGGAAGTGTAAGCCAAGCAAAATACCAGCAAAGGATCCATTAAGCATGAGTTTTCAAGGGTTTCAAAGACTAAATCATAATGTCGAGGTTTTGTGTAACCTAACCTCACCTCTACAATATGAACAGTTTGTGTATGTAAGTCACAGCAAGCCAAAACCTGGGGTTTTCACCACATTTATTTTTGTGTTTTTCTTCTATGGCGCTACCAATATCTCACACTGTAAAAGTAAAAAGTAAAGCTATCCCTCTAACAGGCCGTGGAGGCCCATAGAGTTGTGAGATGTTGAGGTTCCCACATTTTCTAGACAATCGGCTCATAGATGGCGGTAAGGTTGTCAGCCCTACTCGCCGGCCGCCCTTTACCCCCCAAAATATTCAAAGAATATTCCTGGTACTCATTTATGTTAGAGGCTGGAAGGGTTTGGAAAATTGAAAAAATCCGATGACTTCATCGGGACTGTACAGCATCAAATTATATGATGCAAGATTTGAGGTTTTCACGGCGGTGACTCTGAAGAATGCCGTCTTCTGGGATGTGACGCCGTGTAGATCTTGTGTGAACCGACGTTTCGGAGGAACATATCGCCTCCATCTTCAGGGTGTAATAATCCACGAGCGAGGGACTAGCATGAGCAGGTGGCTGCAGACGTGTGTCGCATTATGGCCTGCGAGTCATCGTCTTCATACCAGAGGAGGAAGAAATGGAATCCCGTCCCACGGTTGCCCTCTTCCTGCCTTCAGCAACGCCAGGCAGAGATCACCATGTTCAAATCCCGATTCATAAGACACGAAAAAGTACACTTCATATTAAAATAGTTTAGGTTCGGGCGGGAATTTTCCGACATTCTGACCTACTGCAATATACAGCTTCTATTTACATAATAATATTGTAACGTGGAAGGCCAGATCGTTGCTACGTAACACACCGGTAATCACCCACCGACCGAATACACGCAAGGCAACAATGGAATAGTGTCTCAAGGAGGAAGGTTATTGCGCGTTGCTAGGCAATAGCGCACCAATGAAGACGCTGGCTAAGGATAATATGACTTCTTTTCTGTGCGGTATTCATTATGCAACAATAGAACTGGGTTTTCGGTGCGTGGTCCGTGTCGAGCCTATATAAGAAGCAGTGAAGACTGTTGGACAGGATTCGTCAGGAAGACGTCGTTCAAGGCAGTTCAAGAGTTGATATGTTAACCTTGAGAGTGTTATAATTGCTTGTGAGTCACAGATACAGCAATCGTGTAAGTGTAACAACGAACTGTAGCTACGACGTGTGAAATTATCCAACAAATCGAGATATAAAATCTCGAACCCATTATTATTGTCGCGTTACAAGGATACACGTGGAAATGTATAGTGAGAGTCATCTTCCTTTTCTGAATTCAAATTCCCATCTCTGTCTTGGGCGACCTGTATGGTTTCTTTCCCTCAGTATATAATGCAAGGCTTGTGTGCTATTCACGCAATATCTCTTCTTTGCGTAGGTTCTAACCACCAGGCTGTATATTCCTTCATCTTATCATGAACAATAATCACACACATACGTTTGAATTTGTTTCTTAGATTTCTTTATGACCCTTTCTTAACTGATTTTACATAAGGTTGAATAGGCAGAGAGATAACAATTAATTTAAAATTTCGTCATAGGAAACGCACTGGGCTCAACATTTAAATAAGAGAAGCTAGTGAAAATCATAGAAATTTCAGGTCGAATAGCTGACCTCTAAACCGAGAATAAAAACCAGGGTTTCTTGTAACAAAGCAGCAGTAACAGACATTCAATCAAGACGTTTCGGAAAATAAAATGCAAGATAACATAAAGCCTATTGCTCTTTGCACTACAGATGAATCCGTGTCGTTGTACTATTATTATTATTATTATTATTTATTTATTTAACCTGCAAATGGGTTTTTACCACTAAGATGCAATAAGACACAACACAGAAATAACACGCATCACACAAAATAACACACCACATTCAAACAAAACAGAGCACACAAATCTACGTAAACAATAAAGTTCACGCTACAAACAATGAGTACAATGCAAATACAATTACAACTACGATTAAATAAATGAATATTCATGAAAATAATTATACTATACACTAAACAATATACACTATATTCATTCATTCATCAGTAATCTGTCAGACGACAGGTCCACAATCTCTTCCAAAACAGTTCCTCCACTTAATGCGATCTAGAGCTTTCTCCTTCAAATAAAAATATCCTCTTCTGTTCCCAAGATCATCCAGAATCTTCTTACGTCCTCTTCCTCGTCTTCTGGTTACTTCTATCCGCCCCTCTTTCGCATACATGGTATCTCTGTTTCTGGAAAGAGACTATCCAGGAAAAGTGATAATGTGGTAGTTTTTCCATTTGCTTTCCACATCGCAGTACAACAGCCGTTCAAACCACTCTGGTCACGCCTGTTGCTATACGAACTTGAACCATCTCGAGCATCATTTGCTCTGTGCTTCAAGTCGCCGCTGATGACGCTGCTTCCGGCATCAGTTTTTGGTTTTTGGTGTCTCTCTTCGTCTGATGCCTACCCTTTGACCTGTCCAGCAAGGGAGGCCCTGCCAGTAGCTATGCTACCGCTGGTATAGCTCTCAGGGTCCTTGGCATACTCAAACCCCCTCACCACGATAAGGTGGAGACACCAACGAGGGGGATACACTATATACTATAAAAGAATTAATATCTTCAAAAATGCGAGAAATGAGTTAAAAATGAACTCCACGCAAGAGCCGTAATGTACGTCAGAAGATGTACAGTTGTGTTTGTCGGTCTAAAGCAATGTCACCTCCGGTGAAAATGCGGACTTACGGAGGAAGGAATTTCGTTTATATTTTTACCTTGGAGAATCTACTCTTGAACTTCAGGATTGTATAACAGTGCGGGAGAAATAACCAGGATTTTACCTGTGACCATGACCGGAGAAAGTTGTACGATTTGATTAACATGAAACAACTTCGTGAGAGAGGAGAAAGTAAGGTCGATTGGTATGATGTAAGACGCTACAGTAATCGTAAAATATTAGAGCACAAGATGGGGCACGATTTTCATCTCCCACAGGAAATAAAAACTCTTGGCGGTAAAGCAGTGTTTTTCAATTTTCAAAAAAAAAAATTCTAAATTCCACTGATGTTGAAGTTTAAGTATTTCTAAATGTCACCATATAGATTACGTAATTCAAACTAAG